AAGACTCCCAACCTCATTTTACAAAGCCAGCATTATCCTAATTCCAAAACTGGTTAAAGACACTACGAAAGAAGAAAATTATAGGCCAATATCCCCAATGAACATAGATGATAAAATATTCAACAAAATATTAGCAAACCAGATAAAGATCATACACCATGATCAAGTGGAATTTATTCCCAGGATACAAGACTGGTTCAATACCTGCAAATCAATAAATGTGATGCACCATATAAATGAAGGATAAAAATAATATGATCATATCAAGAGATGCAGAAAAAGCATTTGACAAAAATACAACATCCATTTATGATACAAACTCTCAACAAACTGGGGGTAGAGGGATCATACCTCAACATAATAAAGGCCCTGTATGACAAACCCACAGCTAACATTGTATTCAACAGTGAAAAGCTGAAAACTTTTTCTTGAGGATCAGGAACAGGACAAGAATTCCACTTTTACCATTTTTATTCACAGTACTGGAAGTCCTAGCCATGTCATTCAGATAAGAAAAGGTATCCAAATTGGAAAGAAAGGAGTAAAACTGTCATTATTTTCAGATGATATGATACTATACATAGAGAATGCTAAAGAACACCAAAAAGGCCATTAGAACTAGTAAATGAATTCAGTAAAATAGCAGTATACAAAATTAATCCTCAGAAATCAATTGTATTTTTATACACCAGTAATGAACTATCAGAAAGAGAAATTAAGAAAACAATCCCATTTACCATTGCATCAAAAAAAATTCTGAGAATAAATTTAACCAAGGAGGTAAAAGACCTGAATGCAGAAAACTAAAAGACATTGATGAAAGAAATTAAAGAAGATACAAATAATGAAAGCCTAAGCCATGCTTATGGATTGGAAGAATTAACATCTTTAAAATGTTCATACTACCCACAGTAATCTGCAGATACAATGCAATTCCTATGAAAATACCAATGACATTTTTCAGAGAACTAGAATAAATAATCCTAAAGTTTATGACACCACAAAAGACTCTGACTAGCCAAACCAATCTTGAGAAAGAACAAAGTTGGAGGTGTCACACTACCTGATATTAAACTACTATGCTACAAGGATATAGTAAATCAAAACAGCATGGCATAAAAACAGACACATAGATAAATGAAACAGAATTCTGAGAGCCCAGAAATAAACTAATGCCTGTATGACCAATTAATCTACAACAAAGGAGGCAAGAACATACAATGGGGTAAAGACAGCTTATTTAATAAATGGTATTGAGAAAACTGGACAGATACATGCAAAAAGAAAATGAAACTAGACCACCTTCTTATACCATGTATAAGAATAAACTCAAAATGTTAGATTAAAGACTTAAATACAAGATTTGAAACCACGAAACTCCTAGAAGAAAACATAGGCAATAAAATCTCTGACATTTCTCTGAGCAATATTTTTTGATGTATCTCTTTGGGTAAGGGAAACAAAAGAAAAAATAAACAAATGGGACTACATCAAACTAAAAAGTTTTTGCACAGCAAAGGAAAACATCAGCAAAATGAAATGGAAGAAGATATTTGCCAATGATATATCCAGTAAGGGGTTATCCAAATATATAAGGAACTCATACAAGTTAACACCAAAAAAACAAACAATCAAATGAAAACAAGGACAGAGGATCTGAACAGATATTTCTCCAAAGAGGATATACAGATGGTCAATAGACATATGAAAAGATGCTCAACATCACTAAATCATCAGGGAATTGCAACTTAAAACTACAATAAGACATCATCTCACACCTGTCAGAATGGAGCATGTGGAGAAAAGGCAACCCATGTGCACTGTTGGTGTGTTTGTAAATTGGGACAACCATTGTAGAAAACAGTACGGAGCCCTGGCTGGTGTGGCTCAGTTGGTTGGAATGTCAAGCATCATCTGTGCACTGAAAGGTTGCTGGTTCTTTCCTGGTCAGGGCACATACCCAGTTTTGGGTTCGATCCCTGGTGTGGGTACATATAGGAGGCAAAACCGATAGATGTTTCTCTCTCTCTCTCTCTCTCTCTCTCTCTCTCTCTCTCTCTCTCTCCCCCCCCTCTCCCTCTCTCCCTCTCTCCCTTCTCCCTCCTCCCTCTCCACCCCTTCCTCTCTCTCTGAAATTATCCTAAAATCAATTAAAAAAACATCCTTGGTTGAGGATTAAAAAATAAATAAAACAGTATGGAGGTTCCAAAAAAATAAAAAGTAGAGCTACCATATGACCCAGCAATTCCACTTCTGGGTATTTAACGAAAGAAATCCAAAACACTAGTACAAAAAGATGTATGTACCCCCATGTTTATTGCAGCATTATTTACTTTAACTAAGATACAGAAGCAACCTAAGCAATAGAAATGGTGTATACAATGGAATATTACGCAACCATAAAAAGAGTGAAATCTTGCCGTTTGTGATAGCATGGATGGACCTAAAGGGTATTATGCTAAGTGAAAAGTCAGACAGAGAAAGATAAATACCATATGATTTCACTCATATGTAAAATCTAAAGAACAAAATAAATGAACAAACCAAATAGAAACATTATAGATACAGAGAACAAATTGATGGATGCCAGATTGTAGGGCGGTTCGGGAATGGATGAAAAGCATTAAGGAATTAAAAAGTACAATTTGCCAGTTATAAAAACAGTCACAGAGATGTAAAGCATGGCATAGGGAATATAGTTAATAGTATTATAATAGCTGTATATGGTGTCAGATGGGTACTAGACTTATCAGGGAGATCACTTTGTAAGGTATATAAATGTCTAATCACTGTTGTACACCTGAAACCAATAGTGGATGTCAACTGTAAATGAAAAAATATTTACATGGTTAAGATGGTAAATTTCATGTATTATGTATTTCACAAATTTTTAATATCCCAAAATTTAAAAAGCAACAAAAATATAGAAAAGGAATTGGTTTATCAAATAAAATTTATTCAAAACAAGTGGGGGAAAAATGAAAAAGAGTATAGGAAGGTGTAAGGTCCTGTATAAACTATTGCTGCCACTGCAGACCATAGACCTAGGCTGTGCTTCACAGTCACCTCCCCTTGGCCTTGGGTCAGTCCGAAGGGCAGAGCCATGGGGCTAGTGGAGTCCAGCACACCTAGGTCCAGTTCCTGGTGCTGCCCGGCTCTGTGCCTGGAGCCCTCAGTGGTTACATGGGGACAGCACCATGCTGAGGACTCAGTCAGCTGAGACACATAACACTGGAGTCCCAGGGCACTCAGGTAGAGCTCAGCAGAGCTGTGGGCAGGAGCCCCCAGAGGACCTGCTGCTCAGCACCACTGCCCTTGAACCTCGTCATCAACTCTCCTCATAAATGCTGTCTTGCACAAGTCTCTGATCACAACTTACTGTCTTTTTCCCTAAGCCCACAATCACTCTTGGATGAAGTATTTCTCATCTTGCTTTGTGGTTGAATTGTGTGAAGGCCTGGAAAGGCAAAAGATAGAAGAGGGCAACATAGTTCTAGAAAATGGAAAACAGAAATGAGTGGTTACTGACTTAGCAGCCTGGAGAAACCAGAAACCCCCGTCCCTAAAAGGTGAGAGGCCAGCAAGAAGCTAGCTGACTGGTGCCAGCAATGCCAGCGAAGCTCTGGACTTGTGAGCCATAGGTGTGTAGACAGCAGGGCAGGAGGGGAAGAGAGGCGGAGAGTCGGGTGAGGGGGCACCTTGAATATGGGGACTGAGGGAAAGTTTGCATATCTACAGATTTCTGTTATCTGGGGACCTGCCAACCATCAGGCCCCCTCCCCTAACACAGAGCTTCAGTTTCCTATATGGTATCTTACTTTTCTTTTTCCTTTTTTTTTTGTGGTACGTGCCCCTAGCAGGAACTGAACCCGGGACTCTCTGGTCCACAGGCCAACGCTCAACTGCTGAGCCAAAATGGCAAGGGCTTCTTTTTCCTTTTAAATCCTTACCCAAGGATATGTTTATTGATTTTTTAGAGAGAGAGAGAAACATCGATGTGAGAGAGAAACACCAATTGTTTGCCTCCCTCACACCCCGTACTGGGGATGAAGCCCACAACCTAGGCATGTGCCCTGACCAGGGATTGAACCTGCAGCCTTCTGGTGTACGGGATGATGCCCCAACCAACCAGGCTGGGCCTTGTGTCTCACTTTTCAATATAAAAGGCCAGGCAAGGTAACTGAGACCTTTGAAGAATACCTTTTAAAGAAACATACCAAAACAGAGAAAAGAGGAATTTGGGAGAAACAGAGGCATTGCAGAGGAAGATGAAAACTTAAAAAAAAAAACACCTCACGATAACATCTTCCCAAAGATGATAAGATGGTATCATGGTATGAAAAGACAGGATGCTAACAAAATGAGAGAATAAGGAAAAGTTCTTGGAAATAAATATGATGATAAAAATATTTTAAATTTGAGAAGAATTGGAAGATAAAGTAGAATATAAAGAGCATGTTGAAAGATTAATCCAGGACATGCAGCATCTGAGTACTAGAGATGCAGAAAAAGAACACGAAGGCCGACTAGGGAAGAAAATTCTCCACAATCCAAGATAATGTTTTCAGATGGAAATTCCCAGCACAATGAATGAAAAAAACAAGCAAACAAAAAAAAATGAAGCATATCCTTATAGAATCCAAGGGAGAGGGGAAGACCTTAAGAGCCTCCAGAGACAGAAGCCTGAGTCCTTTACAGAGGACTGTGGATCCCCGTATCACTGGACTTCTCAGCAAGAACTTGAAGAATTAGAAGACAGAGGAGCCCTGGCCGGTCTGGCTCAGTGGTTAGAGCGTCGGCCTGCAGTCCAGAGAGACCGGGGTTCAGTTCCCGCTAAGGGCGCGTACCTTGGTTGCAGTTTGTCCCCGGCCCTGGTTGGTCGTGTGGGTGGCAGCCACTCGATGTGTCCCTTTCACATGTGTTGATGTATCTCTGTCTCTCTTCCTCTCTCTCCCTCCCACTCTATCTGAACGAAGAATGGAAAAATGTCCTCGGGTGAGGATAAAGAAAAAAAAAGAAGACAGAGGAAATGCCTTCACAGTTCTGAAGTTACTTATTTCTAGAATTCTCTGCCCATCCACACTGTCGAGGGTGTGAAATAAGCCTCAGTGAAATGAGAGAGTCAACCAAGAAGGGGCCATGGGATCCAGGCTGGAGCAGCACAGCTTCTGGAAGCCAAGGCTCCAGGGACACATGGAACCGGTATGTGGTCAAGGCTGAAAGGGTTCTTACGGTACTTTCAGAAAATGTGAGGCCAAGTTACTGTCAGAGAAACTTGAGCGAAGAGTGGGGAGGGAAAAGGCTAAAGCTGTTTTTCCAAGAAAAACAAAATGTTGTCCAAGAAAGAAAATTAATCATAGTACACTATGTGCCTTATCTAAGAAAAGTGTTTACGTAGTTCTAATGCTGAATATTGATTTGACCAAAATTGAGATGTGAGTCTGTCAGAGTAACATGGGGCAGAGGCTGTGTGTGTGTTTGGGGCGTGGGTATAGAGAGCTCCTATAGCAGTAATAATCCCACACACATGAAACACAGGCTTACCAGATGTGCAGGAGGAATGTGTATCAACTCATGCAGCCCTCACAACAATCCTCCAAAGCAGCTGACTTTATTCCTCTTACAGCTGATGAAGCCCAGGCACAGAGGTAAAGCGGTTTGCCTAAAGTCACAGTTAAAAACTGGGAGAGCCAGGATTTCAATTCAGACAAGTTGGTTCTAAAGTCTGGCTTTAAACTGCTATGCTCACCTGCTTTTGGGGTCCAAAAGGCAAGAAATGATTTGAATATCAATAAGTAACAGTATAGCCCTGGCCGGTTTGGCTCAGCGGTTAGAGCGTCGGCCTGCGGTCCTGAGAGACCCGGGTTCGGTTCCCGCTAAGGGCATGTACCTCGGTTGCAGTTTGTCCCCGGCCCTGGTCGGTTGTGCAGGTGGCAGCCACTCGATGTGTTCCTTTCACGTCGATGTTTCTCTCTCTCTCTCTCTGTTCCTCTCTCTCCCTCCCACTCTACCTGAACAAAAAATGGAAAAATGTCCTCGGGTGAGGATAAAAAATTTAATAATAAAATAAGTAACAGTATAAATAACTAACACTATGGAGATAAATATCAACTGCAGCAGTTAAAAGGCTTAAGTGTTGCATCAAGGAAGTGGTAAAGGGTAGGGAATTTCATGTTTCTTGTGCAGTTGTTTGACTTTACACTATGGACAGATGGTACTTTTAAAAAGTTAATGAGCCCTGGCCAATATGACTCAGTTGGTTGGAGCATTGTCCTGTGCACCAAAAGGTCACAGGTTCGATCCCCAGTCAGGGTACAGACAGGAGTCGACCGATCAATGTTTCTCTTTTGGTTCTCTTTTCTCTCTCCCTCTCCCTTCTTCTCTCTCCAAATTTAATGAAAAACAAAACATGTCCTTGGGTGAGGATTAAAAATTAAAAATAAATGATAAAATGTTAAAAAAAAAAAGAAAAAATTTATCAAAAGAAGAGAAAAACTACGGCACCAGTGATGAGGAGGGTGGGTCTCCAGTTTTGACTGGTGTTGCCCGGTGTGCAGCTTCAGTCGTCCTCACCAACCTGAGACTCAGCTGCGTAGGGCTCGATGGTTCCCAAGTTCTCTTCCAGCTCTTCACATTCTGACGGTCAACAAGACAAGCAGTGATGTGGAGAACGTGTACCACAAAGAGAGCCAGTCAGGGTGACATGGTAGGACTGAAGGATTGGATAGGTGCTGCTTCAGGTCAGCCGTTCAGAGAGGCATCTACAGGGGCAGGACCGAGTGGGTGAGGGAGCAGTGACTGCAAAGGCCCCAGGGTGGGCAGGCGTCATTCCAGGAGTGGCTGGAGGGAAAGGAGGGGCAAGCCAGCTGGCACCAATAGAAAGTCATGGAGTTTGCAGCCAAGATTGACCAGGACTATGATGGGTATAGGCTGGAGGGAACAGAGAAGCCCTTGAAGGGATTGGGGGACAGTCCTTGGACAAGGGTGGTAGTGCTGAAGGGGATGAGAAACTGCAGCTTCTCAGTGCGTCCTGGAGGAGTTGACAGATTGAGCTACAGGACGGATTGCAGGTATGAGAGACAGAAGTCAGGGATGGCTCCTTCCAAATGTCTGGTCTGCGGGCCGCTGCACAGTCCACTCCAGATCCACCATCCTCTTCCTGGCGCTCATCTTTCTGGATCACTCCTCAGGCCGCCTTCTCATAAACATCTGCTGCTGTCCCTGTCGTTGTGTGTGGGCAGGCCCAAGGTCCTCCTGCTGCCCTGTCTGCCTCTTCTCCCAGGTCTCCCTCCCACTGTTCCCCCACAGCAGTCCTGCCACCTGCAGCTCCACAGGACCCGTGTCTCCCTCCTCTCTGCACCTCCAATTCCAGGCTCTTCTTGATTCACTTTTTGACTTCCCATACTTGAGGCATGCCTCCCCCTCAAGCCCACAACTCCATCCTTCCACCCTTGTCAGAGTAACCAGAACCAGAGCTCCCATCATGTCCCCATCCTGCTCAAGGTGTCCCAGTGGTGTCAAATGCCCAGAGTGCACGTGCCTGCCAGCCTTGTGTTTTTCCCAGGACCACGCCTTTCCAGGTACAGTCGTCTGAAACCCATGGAACTCTTGACCTTCCATAGGCTGGTGACTGAGACCAAGGTGGGGAATGGGGGGAGTAGGGGCAAAAGTCCTGCTGGGACTGTCCATCCTTCCCAGATGCCCTGAAGAGGCAGGGCAAGGCTGGGATGAGAGCCCTAGATGAGGCCTTGTTGGCTGAGAAGTAGGAGGCCTGTGAACTGCGTGACTTCTCCAAGGTCTCCTTGACCATGTGATGAATGTCCAGGATGTCACCCTCCAGGTGTTTCTGGCTTGTTGTAGGCTTTCCTTTTCCTGCACAGGGGGTCTCGTTTTCAAAGTCTGTCTTAAAGAGGCCTGCCGTCACTACACAGCATTGGGCAAGTAGGACAGCGAAATGCCAGGCTTTGAGGAGGGGCCCACCCCTGTCCAACTTTGATTTCCATTTCTGTTTGAGTCACTTTTACACAAATTACTTTTGTCAGTTACATAACAGTCTGTGGCCCAGACCCAGGCAAGCAGTAAATATTTACCTTCACATTGGAGCCAAGGTCGCTGTGGTGAGCCACAGTGAGTCACAGGGGAGCATCATTACCCTCTAGGACCTTGGGAAAGGAACACCAAAGCATGCGCTTGTTAAAGGTTTGCTGGGTCATACTGTCAGGACTAGAATGTGAATTTAGTACTGAAACCTGAATTATCTCCTGTAGCCCACTATAGGTGACTATTTTATATATGCACACACATGTACATTTGCATATCATTACTTCTATTTCTTCTATAGTATTTATTGTGTAATTTTTAAAGTCCTTTCAAAATGATTGAAAACGAACTGCTCTGAAAAACAGCAATTCTGCAGAGCTTGATCGCAAGACAGGCTGACTCCATCTGGCAAATGTGTTCTCAAAATGAGTTCCTTTTATCAGAAAGTGACTGTAAAGGGTTGGTGGTGATTCTTGGAACCTCAGAACCCACCACATGATGGTCAAGAACAGTGGGCTCTGGGTTGTGCTGGCGGTTGGGAGCAGCTGCTCCGGCACGGACCTGAAATACTGACTCTCTTGCCCTTCCCAGACAAGGTTCCAACCCCAACGGAGCCCAAAGCTCTTGCCCGTTTTTCTGACACGTATGCCTACCAGTCTGCTTCCTTTCTCCTCTGCAGCGTCTCTGGCCCACATGGCCCAGGTGTTTGTGTACGGGACCCTGAAGCGAGGCCAGCCCAACCATAAAGTCCTGCTGGACCACACCAACGGCTGCTCGGCCTTCTGGGGCCGGGGCCGCACGGTGGAGCCGTACCCGCTGGTGATTGCCGGAGAACATAACATTCCGCATCTGCTGAACCTCCCAGGGCACGGCCACTGCGTGGCCGGGGAGATCTATAGTGTGGACGAGCAGATGCTATGCTTCCTCGATGAGTTCGAAGGCTGCCCAGACATGTACCAGCGCACCCGGGTGCGCATCGCGGTCCTCGAGTGGGAAGGCCCACGCGGTGCCTCCGAAGAGCCTCCAGCTGCTGAAAGGACCCTGCAGTGCTTCGTGTACAGCACGGCCACCTACCCTCCAGAGTGGGTCCGCCTCCCGTACCTCGACAATTACGACTCTCAGGGGGCACACGGGCTTCGCTATAATCCGAGGGAAAACAGATAAAAACCGCGACAGAGAGAGCCCTGATGATTATAAGATTACCTCAGCTTGGTCTGCACGCACTGAATGCAAAGCCTAATAATGCTCTTTGAAACAAACATTTGTAAAACCCAATCTGTGGGAAAAGAAATACTCATTTTCAGTGGCAGCCAATTTCCCACATAATTTTGACATACTGATAAGACTGCCCTGAAGTCTGTCGGATACTGCTTTACTGCTGCGCAAAGAGCATCGCCGGCTTGAGTGTACTGGGTAAGAAAAATTTAGGTTTTAATTCCCCTAAATGACATTTCAAGCACTCATATGTTACCATACTTTTCTTCTTTTCCTGCTTTGCCTTAATCTGAAGATAACATTTAAAATGAATGTAAAGACTTTGTGTTGCAGTTAGATTTTAGCAGCCCTACTCTATTGATTCTGACCTATAGCACCAAGGGAAAAAAAATTTAAGCTGATCTTGAATGTCTTAGTGTAATGAAAGAAAAGAAAAGCATGCGGTATTTTTTAGTAGTTTTGGAGTATATATAACATCGTTCTTCACAATTTTCAAACCAAGCTTATTAAAGAGATTATTAAAGATGATCATTTAAAATTAAACTAGATATTTTAGGAAATCAAATATAAAAGTGTTGATGGTAATTTTGGCCTTTTTCTTGGGTCTACTTATTTAGTAGAAGGTTCTTTTCATTCTAAAGTAGCAAAACAATGAGCACCCGCTTGCTGGCAGACACAGCTGAATACCCTGAGCCCAGAGCCCAGTGGCAAGGCACTGTCCCTGCTTCCCGAAGGGAGCGGCATTTGGGGGTGGGCCTTTTGAAGAAAAACCAACATATTAGTAATTTGTTCTTCAGGCCTGTCAGAAAGCTTAGCTTCCAAATACAAACACTGCTTAAAATAATTTTAGCACAGCACGAAGTACCAATTACTACCCACCTCATCTGATGATCTGTCAGTGCAGGTTCAGAGCAGTGCACGACTGCCTCTGCCTGCTTACCAGCGAAGTATGAAACGTATTCCGAGAATTCCAGAACGGAATGGGAATGCAGCTGCTGGTCCTCAGTAACCTCGTTCTCCACCGGGAAAGCTCACTCTCTCTCCAGCTTAATGGTAGACTGTGACCACTAACTGCATCTGGCACAAAAACATGATCATTGTTTTTATCCCTTCTTCTTTAATTGGAATCGTGCTTCACAAAGATACAAAAAGGCAAGGATGGGTATCAGCTGATGAGCTTGTGGCAGCCCCACCCACTACAGTTGCGGTGAGGGAGCCCCATGGGATGGGGAAGAGGGACAATGAGTCATCTCTCCTTAAGGTGACACCCCCAGGGATCCAACAGATCCAGTACTTACCCATTAGAGTCACAAAGGAGGGATTTACACGATCATCTGTGCTGCATGGGCTTAAGAAGTTAGGAATAACAACAAACAGGAGTTACAGCCTCAGCCAGAATGAGTAGGTAATCAGATTATAAGGTGGCAAATGCGGTTTTAATGAAACTGACAGCAAAGAGCTGGGATTTATATAAAATTTTTAAAGGATCACAATGAAATGCTATCGTTTAAAGTCTACTGGCACAGCCTATGTCTCTTATGTACATTGTCTTCATTCAAAAAAAGGGCAAACTAATATTTAGACAAATGCTCAGTTTTATTGATTTAACTTTGACACTAAGAAATCTCACAGCAGAAGTACAAATCATATGTACAAGTATTTATATCAATAAAATTTTCCATTGGTGATTTTTTGGCAGAATGTTGGTTTGACTATATGTGGAATAAATATGACCACGTAAAATCTGCTGCACAGGGGTGCGCCTGTAAAATGCTTGAATAAATTGAATGAAAGAATAAAATACAAATGGGTAATTAAATTGGGTGACTACTGAAAGGCTATAAATACTTCATTGCAGTTCCACGAGCAGATCTCCTTCTCCAACTGTGTCCCCAGCTTTACAATGTACCGATTTCACCTTGAATTAAAAAAAAAAAAAAAAAAAAAAGGAGGGGGTAAGAAGGATAAACTAGACCAGGAGGTAGCGACCTCTTCATTTCTGGAAGTGAGGAGATGACCTGGCAGGTTTTGGAACACAAGTAGAACACTTGGCTGGCGCAATCGTTGGGGACCTCATGCATGGGGACGTCCTCATGCAGGGCAGTGACTCACCACTTCCCCTCCTGGCTCTCCTGTCCTTGGTCCTAAAACTTGCTGATACAAAGCAATTTCTGCTGGCTGACCTTTGCACTGGGTGCACACAGGGGTCTGGGCAGCATTCAAAGACCCAGAGTGTTGATCTTGGATAAGCTCTCAACACCCAGCCCTCCCAATCCCTGTGGTTTTAGGTTATAGAAATGTTCTCTGAGAGTTAATGTATACTTAGTTTAGTGTAAAAAAAATAAATAACCCAAACAAAACAATTATACAAGAGTCCAAACAGGTACAAACTAATGGGAAGCTCCCTAGCCTGACCGTAAACTTCCCCTGAAGGGAAATGGGATACCCAGAAGGGTGTGGCTGCTTGGATGGCCTTTGTGGGGTGATGTCTGACCAGCACTGAGTTCCCACAGTGTTGCTACTGTGCCCTTTCATTCTACTCTTTTCTCTCAATCTTAATCAGGTTTGCTTTCCCAAACTGTGTTCAGATTTCAAATAAGTGGGTAGGGGGTTGGAGTGGAGATAAGATAGTGATTTGACTTCTTGGAGTTTCTTGTTTGGCTGAAAAAATGAACAGTGGGTTAGAACTTAAGTGGCAAACAGGAACGATGCCAGCGATGGCAGGTTCGGTGACCTGGCCTGTCCCTATAGCTCTGCTGTGAGCCAGAGGGCTAGAAGGGCCTTCTTCCCTTGACTCCAGCCCAGGCTCTTGCAGGCCGATGTGAACCTGTGCAACGACTACTTCAAAGGCATGTTCAGCAGGTGCTATTTGCACTGAAGTGGCTGCTTTTTTATGATCTGAAACCTCCGATGATTGTATAGGCTGTATTTTTAGTGATGCTGCTACAATTACTAGAATGAAGGACCTGAACTTTTTCTCTGGGAGGAAAAATGGCCCTCCTAGATAAGAATCGCCAGTCCCCCAGCTCCCCAGGGCCTGGTCCTCTGGGCTGAGGCTCTGGCCATTCCTGGTGCGCCCTGCTGGGGGGGGGGGGGGGTAGGAGGAAATGGGATGAGCGAGAAAGACTCCAGCTAATAGGTGTCAGGCCACAGAACAAAGTTGCCCAGAGCCCAACAACACCCGGAAGCATCTCTGAGCTGCATATGACCAGGGAGCAGCTGCGCCTGCACTGTGGCACCCAGGCCATGAGGACGTAAAACACACAGACAGACACAGGCCCCTTGTTCCTTCAGGGAGCTGTGACCAAGTCCATGTTTGCACTGTATCTCAGTCCAGCAACACTCGCCCTTGATATGCATCTGACATATTCTGCATCCCCCACAAATGAGGCCAAGTTATCATCACAGATGGAAATCTCATGATGCTAATGCAGTGTCAGTGTTAATCTCAAGTAACAAATATAACAATTTTACAAGAAGAGAAACTAATGGTTTTGTGTCCATCTTATAAAAAGTAATCTTGTAGAAAGCAGGATTCCTAAACCCTACAAATTATGCCTTTCTCCTCTTCCAGACCCTTAGGGACAGGTATCTGCAGCCCTTTCTAGCCTGGCCTTCGCTCTCCCAGCTGGGACTGGACTGGAGTCCTCCTCAGCATGTTCTCTGAGCATCAGTTTCATTTCTTTTTGGGGTGACAGATGGAAGCTGTCTTTCCCTGATGCAGATTTCACCATGAGCTGACAGTACCTCTCTGCCAGGACACCATTGTCCCCTAGGTTCGATCTCACTTTCCAGGTGTGGCCACAGTGCAGGGCATGGCCAGCCTATGCTGTCTTCACCCCACCCTGCCCGACCTCACTCCAGACTTCTAATCAAATTGTCCTTTGGAAAAGGATCCTTCTATGAATGGTGTCCTTTTAGACACAGAAAGGATAATTAAGTTATTGCTTTAAAGGACTTTTCTATTTTCTTCAAGAAGAAAATACATTTAAGAAGTTTTACTCTTAAGAAATTTCAGTACTAATACATCATCTCCTTTTTTTCTCCCTAAATCATGAAGTCCCATATGTGTTGTACGTGGGGCTTTCAGCTCCTCTTGGTCTAAAATCAAATTGTTCTCTTGGTGGGGAAATTATCTCGAAGAGTGACGTTAATTTTTGCAATCTCTAAAACCATTTCCTTCTGTGTCACCTAAGTCTCAGTTAACTAACTGCCTCTAAGACAGATGTAAACATTAACAATTAAAGACCCCTTAATTTGAAAGACATTACGGGGAAGAACAATTGTTCTTTGACTACCTGAACGCTATACAGACTCTTTTGGAGGCCTGCTCTCCAGGAGGCAGGGACACGCCAATACAGGAAGGAAAGAGGTCCTGATCTTAATGTCCTCTTCTGCAGGAGGTGGGTTGGGGAAGATATCACCCCTGTGGTCCCTTTCAGGCCTAACTGTCCAAGATTCAGAGGTGGAAGTTCTGCTTCCTATCACAGAGCAGGTGTGGGCTGGTGGGAACTTGGGGACATACCTTGCCAGTTTTCCCAGCTGTCATACTGTTCTGCATTTTCATGGCTTCGATCACACATATTTCCTGACCTTCTGAAACCTGGAAAATGAATAAAAATAGAAGTTTCATCAGCATTCTAATTTTACAACATTATTCAAGAGTGAAGCTATTAAGAGATTCTTTGTCAAATGTGCTGAAATTTGATCCAGACAGTAGCAATAACCTCTGATAAATACTTTGAATCCCAAGTTCATTTTGGGGGACAGCAGAGAAAGGCTGTGCCCTGGGAATCTGAACCTTTGCCACAGAGATGTGGCCAAAAGGCACGCTCTCCACTTACGTGCAATGAATGGTAAATCTCCACAGACAGGAAGATTCGTGGTCTCCAGGGCTGAGGAGAAAGGGTGGTGACTGCTGATGGATGGGTACACAGCTTCCTTTGGGGGAGGGAGGTTGTGACAATGTTCTAAGATTGGCTGTGGTGATGGCTGTGTAACCGAATATACTAAAACCACTCATGCACACTTTAAAGGAATGAACTGTATGTGAATTTTATCTTAGTAAAGCTATTATCAAAAAATGGAGTTTCTCTCTACAGCCCCGAAGGGCTGGGAACAATAGCCAAACCTCCAGGCCCTGGGGACCGCTGTCCCAAACCTTCCAGTGCCGGGAATTTCTCGGGCTGCACCCATTCGGGAGCTCCCACAGGCACGGCTCGAGGGGCTCAGGCTTGGTGTTCTGACGTGTTTGCCTGTTGTTATGAGGGAAATCCAGGAGGAGTGGGCATCAACCCCCTGGTTAAACCTGGCCTTTCACCCAGGATTCATCTGTAACTAAAAGCCATTCTAATTCTTTTTTCTCCGCCTTTGATGGGTAGGCACCAATGAGCTTGGCTGGATTTTTCTCCTATCTTTATGAAAAAGGGCCACCCAGTCTTTGAAATGGGAGAGTCGAATTTCCTAGGGCAACTGGCTGTGTAGGGTGCTGGTGAGCATCTGGTGTGGGGCTCCTGGACACTCCCACCACTTGGGTGTGCCTGTCCAGTGCCGCAGAAGTGCCTGGAGAACGTTCTCTCCTGAACTCCCCAGATGATCTTCAAGCCCCCCCGGCCCCCTGCGGGCACAAGCTGTCTTGCTGGCAGTGGGACTGCCTGAGCCCGTGCATTCCTTCCCTCCGCTGATCAGGCGGTGGGCTGCCTTTTCCTGGCACAGAAACATAGGAAGCGAGGGGACGCCAAGGCTTCCGTGCTGGCACAGAGGAGAGACTGTGCCGCAGAGCCGGGCTGGAAGTACTGTGCTCGCTGACCTTTTTATTCTTTTCCACCTGGCACCTGTGCTCCATGAGTGCGAAGAATCCACTCGCGAGGACTGTTCTTTCGCACGTACTGCTCTTCAAAGCGCAGAGGGAGAGAAGTGAGGGCAGCTCAGACAGTGCAGATGCCCCAGTCAGGTGTCAACAGCTGCTCCCTCAAGTTGTCATTTAGAAGCCTTTTTTCTTTCCTCAAAGGCCGGCAAGGATCAGGTAAGACGGAGAAGGGCAAGTTCCCCCAGAGGGGACCTGCCACTTAGCTCCACACCCAAAACCCTGGTGGACCCAGACCAAGGTTTCTGAGACAGAGGCTGAGAGCCAGAGCTGACCTCAGGAAACAGCACCCCAATCCAAGGACTGGGCATTCCAGCAACAGGGCTGGGGTGGCTTTCTGGGAAATGGATCTGAAATTGAACAATGGAAATTCCAGCCAAAAATTAGTAGTCAGTTCTCCACCTTGGGGCTCTGGTAGCTCTTTCCTTCACAGATGCACAGGCAACCCCCCTAGCATGGGGCCTGTGAGTACCTGCTCCCATGCTCCCCAGCCAGGCTTTCTTAGCTGGCTTGCTCAGCCCTGCCTCCCCATC